GCTAGTGAACACAAAAGTGAAGATCTCTTAAAAATAACAAGGAACCAGGAAATAACAATTCAACAGCTGCAAGATGACGCAAAGAAAATTAATTTAAGACTCACAGGTGTTGGGGCTGGGGATTTAGCTCAGCGGCATGAGCACCTGCCTTGCAAGCAGGTGGTCGTGAGTTCGATCCCCAGTACCAATAAAAAGAAAAAGAAAGAAAGAAAGAAACAAAAAAAAAAGAATCACAGGTGTCTGCCAAAAAGCAAAAGAACACAAATGGCATAAAAAGATTATTTACATAAGTAATCAGAAAACTTCCCAAGCATGGGGAAAGGACCTGACATATAGATAATATCTAGAGAGACATATAGAAGCCAATAGCCATAACCAAAATAAATCTACACCTACACATAAAATAATCAAGATCCCTGAAATTCAGCACAAGAATAGAGTATTAAAAGCTGTTAAGAGACTCCAGCATAGTGAAAAGAAAACCCACAAACTGGGAAAAAATCTTAGTGAACTGTCCCTCAGACAAAGGACTTCTGTCTAAAACATGTAAGAATTTAAAAAAAAAATAATCAGACCCCCAAAATTCAAAGATCCAATCCAAACATGAATACACAATTCTCAGATGAAGAAATACAAATGGCAAATAAATACAAGAAAAAATGTTCATCATCATTACTCACTAGAGAACTGCAAATTAAAATTACACTGAGATTCCATCTCACTTCTGAAAGAATGGCCAGCATCAAGAAACCAACAACAACAAATGCTGGAGAGGCCGTGGGGAAAAAGGAACTCTCCTGCACTGTTGGTGGGAATGTAGATTTGTGCAACCATTGTTGAGGTCAGTCTGGAAATTTCTCAGAAAGCTGGGATTGGAAGTCCCATTTGTTCTAGCTATTTCACTTCTAGGCATATTCCTAAAAGAACTGAAAGCAACATACCACAATGATATATGGGCACCCATGTTTATAGCTGAACAATTTGTAATAGCCTGATCTTGGAAACAACCTAAATGCCCATCAGCTGAGGAATGGATAAAAAACATGTGGTACTTTTATACAATGGAGTACTACTCAGCCATAAAGAATGATCACATTGAGATTTTTATACGTAAATGGATGCAACTTGAGACCATACTCATAAGTGAAATAAATCAAACTCACATGTGTAAATACTGTATTTTCTCCCTAGTGTAAGAAATGGGAAGAGTACATAAGATACAAAATTCTCAATATATACTATGAAAGGGTAAGAATCTGCTCAAAGGGGGAAAAATAATATCTCAGGGAAAAGGAGGGGGAAAAAAGGAAGTAAAAAAAATATCTAAATTTCTATAAACACAAAATAGCTAAGATGATTGTGCTACAAATTCTATTAGTGCTTGAAACAAAACAGTTGTCATCGGATTAGATCAATTTTATATGTTTGTATCTGGTGATCTGAGGAACTCTTTTGAAGATCACTATGTAAAATAGCAAGCTTAGTTACATTCCTACTACCTCGTTTTGAAGGCCTATTATCATCATTGTTTTGGGCTCCTTGCTATTGTTATTTGTCTTTGTTTCTTGGTTTTCCAGTAATTTGTTTTCTTTTTCCTTCTAACACAGGAAGGATAGATGTACGTATGGAGGCTTATACTTGCATAGAAATTCTCCTAAAGAGTTAACGAGAATCAATTGTATTATATGTGATGATATGAACAGCTACTCTGAAGAAAAAGAGATATTATGGTATCCATTGCTGATTTCCTATTGTCATGCTATGAAATCCAGTAATGATTTTATTCTTTGTTTACAGTAGTTTTAGTCTGATACAAGGCTTTAAAACAAGATAATAGGAAATCTATAATGGCTACCATAATATATCTTATTATCTTTGAATTATATTATTTAATTTCAACATACATGAAGGTATGGATAGCTATTTTGAAGAGAACAAGAGACATTATGGTAGCCATTGAATTTCCTATTGTCTGGTTTTGAAGACCTGTAATGCCTTCATTACTGTTTTGATCAGCTTTATACTAGTTTGTGTTGTATGAATTCATAGTATGTGAGCACACAGGCAACTATTTAGAAGAAAAGCCAATGTTGATCCCCTCTTGTCTTGCTTTGAAATCTGTCACTTAACATTGTTTTCTTCTGATCTGCTTTGTTCTGTTTTGTTACATTTTATTTTACCCTCTTTAAAAAACAAACAAACAAAAAAGCCTTCCAATCCAGATTGAATTACCTTGAAAACTATCTTTCAAAATTAATGGAGAAACAAGAGACTTCCAAGACAAAGAACAACTAAACGAATTTATGACCACCAAACCAACCTCACAAACAATACTTAAGAACATTTTAGAGAGAGACAAAAATGACCACAGTTCCAGGAACAGCGGCAAAGGGAGATCACTGAGCATAGCAGCAACTGAATGGAAGAAAGAAGTAGGGAGCCAACGGCAAGAAAATAGCAAGACAGAGATGAGCCAGTGTGTGTTAGCCATAACCATTAATGTAGATGGCCTCCATTCACCAATAAAAAGAAACACAGGCAGAGTGGATCAAAAAACAAGATCCATCAGTATGTGGTAGACAAGAAACATAACTTGAAAGGAAATTCATATGCTGAAAGTCAAAGGAGAGAAAACTGCACCATGTAACATGGAACCAGATAAAAATAAGAAACATATGGGTTTTTTGTACAATTAGAAAGTTACACAGCTATAAGAAGAATATTCTCAAGGCTCTTGTAGGTAAATGAATACAATTTGAGACCATGCTCATGGTTTGGACTCACATGAATGAATACTATGTTGTCTCCCCAGTATAGAAAACAGAAGGAATTAGTGGAATCTAAAATGTACAACAGATAGTATGAAAGAGAAAGGGGAGGAAACATCTAAAAAGGGAAGGTAGTAGTCACTGTTACTTTCTGTTATCTTGTTTTGAAGTCCTGTAGCACTTTCACTGTTCTGTTTCATTTGGTTTTATTGTTTTGATTTTATTTTATCTTGTGGTATGAGTAATTATTTCAAAGATAATAAGATATATTATGGTAGCCATTATAGATTTCCTATTATCTTGTTTTAAAGCCTTGTATCACTTTCATTGTTTTGTTTTGATTGATTTTATTCTGTTTTGTTAGATTTTATTGTCTGATGGTATAGGCAGTAACTTTGAAGATAACAAGAGGCATTATGGTAGCTACTGTTCACTTCCTATTATCTTGTTTTGAAGTCCTGTATTACATTCACTATTTTGTTTTGATCAGCTCTATTCTGTTTGCTTTTACTCTCTTTAAAATAAAAATAAATAAAATAAAATAAGGGCCTGTGGATGTAAATCATTGTGAAGGCTCTAGATTCAATCCCTAATACTGCAAGGGTTTAAAAAAAAAAAAGCAGCTGATAAAATATTACTTACTTAAAGATTTCAGTACAGAAACACCCCAGTAATACAATACAAAACAGATGATTTAGACACTTTTTTTTCAATAATGTTAAATTTAGGGATGTGATAATGTAACTGTACTGATTTAGGAGATTCTCAGGATGCTGAAGTACTCATAAGTAAAGTCTACTTTCAGAAAGTTCATAGAAAAAGCATATAGAACTATGTAGAAAGTAAGATAGGCTGAGGATTTGGCTCAGTGGCATAAATGCCTATCTGGCAAGTGCGAGGTGATGAGTTCAATCCCCAGCACTAAAGGGGGAAAAAAATAAGATAAAACAAATATTAAAAAACTTAATACTAGGTCAGTCTGCATAAAGGACATGTTGATATTCATTATACTATTCTTTTTTTCTATTGGTTTCAAATGTTAAAATAAAAAGGGAGGAGGGACACATCCTTGTGAAAGTTCATAGCACACCATTTGTAAGAGCCTAAAGTCAAAACAACCCAGACATGTACCAGTAGTGGCTGAATAAATAAATGAAAATTAAGAAAAAAAGAAAGGAAAAGAAATTAAGTTAATGTATAAACGGTGCTATACTCTTGCAAAGAAAATGAACTACTATTATTAACGTATCACATGGGTAAAACACACAAATAACAGTGAGCAAATGAAGCCAGACACAAAGAGAATGCACAGTATCTGTTGAATAAATATTTCAGACAATACTTAAGATCAACGGTGTCATTTATCCTTGTGTAGCAAGGACATTTTTTAGAAAGAAGCAAGATGAAAATGGAAATGTATAAATTAGGAGAACAAATTCCTTTCAGTTGACCTGAAGCAATATTTATAAAAACCATCCACTTAACCATTTACCCACTCTAATAATTATGATACACTGCTGGTTTGTCAATATTGTCCAAATAGGCAACACTTTTTAAAAGACCTAGTTTGAATAAAACATGTAACATAGTTATGACATAGTCAGAGACCACCATCAGGACAAAGGACATACTCTTAGGCCCTGTCTACAAGTTTGCAAAACAAATTCATTAGGCCTAAATTAATTATCCTTCTAGACTGAGTATACCAGGATAGAAAAATTTACAGGGACATTCATTATAACTCTGGATTCAGGAAGAAACTCATACAATTGCCCAAGTCAGGAGGATTCCTCCCATGGAAACTGAATTGCCCCTCTAGTCTCAAGGATTCAATCTGAGCTAGGAAACCAGATAATGATTGACTAACAAGACCTCAGGCAACTTGAGCTAATCCTTAAATTTGGTTCCCACTCAGATCCTCAGTGTAAGCCCCCTCCAGCTACTACTCAAGCTGGAGTCCTTTCCCTTTTTTTCTCTTACTTCCCAATTAGACTTTTTTCTGAAAATTTATACTGTCATTTTAGTTTCCATTATCAGTAAAGACCTACCCTGGCCAGTGACACATATATCTAATTCAAACCTACAACAAAAATTTTTTAACTGAATAAGACATTTCTAACTGGTCATAATTTACCGGTTCTAGTTTTAAAATATGAATTCAGACTAATAACCAGAGAAGATGATAATAACGATGATGACGATAGGATATAAAGAAAGAGATAAAATACTTACATTAACTTTGAAAGCTTGGACAGTGTTATCCAGAAGAAGAATGTTGCAAACCACCTCTGTATGCTGTCTGTCTCTGGCCAATTCTGATGCTCGTACATTGTAGGTTCTGCCAGCAGGCAATCGGAAACGTGAGGTCATTACTGTCCACACAAAATCTAAGTTTAAAAAAAATTTGTTTTCACTAAATAAATGGGTAGTAGGGGATACAAAGTAGTTTGAAAATAATTAATGTTTTTAATTAAACTTATTATTTAGGAGAAAACAATTTGGAATTCTTAAATATCAGGATAAGAACTATAGATGTAAAACACACAGGTAGTTCATCATCTAAAATTATAAACTGCCTTGAAAAAAGAACTTTATTTTGAACTGTTCCATTGAGAAGACTTAAACAATTTTTTCACGAAGTCAAATTCTAATTCAAACATATAAATTTAAATGTAGCCTAAATACAGAGCTACCATCCCAGGAAGTTGAATGTTAGTGTTCAAAGCAAGTATTTAAAAATACTGCAGAATGACAACTAAAGGGATTAACTGTGTCAGGCCATTCATTTCTTTCCAAACAAGACTTTGGGGAACCACAGGAGGTTTAAAAAATAAATAAATAAAAATAAACAGTCTTCATTTCAACTATCATTAAACTCAACCTAAGCCAAACTCTTACTCTTAATAAAATAAAACGAAGATAGAAAACTCAAGGATAACAACCTTTGTTTCTTAATTTTTAACCTGAGATATGAGAGGGGAAAACTATAATCAGACTGATAACACTACCAGATATTAAAAGACAATAAAGCTGTAATTTTAAAGATCTTACAGAAAATATTTAAATCACAGACTTTACTCAGAAAATTAATATTCATGTTGGAGAAAAACAGCCAAAAATTTTTTTAGGCACTCAAAATTTAAAATCCATAAAAAACTTCTCCCTTAGGGCCTGGGGATTTAGCTCAGTGGCGTAAGTGCCTGCCTTGCAAGCAGGCAGTCTTGAGTTCGATCCCTGGTACCGATAAAAAGGAAAAAGACAAAAAAAAAAAAAAAGAAAAAAAACAACTTCTCCCTTAAAGACAATATATAAGAGAAACAAAACTAGGAAAAAACAAATATTTGAGGTTTCCGAATATAAGTAATAAGTAGGCAATATGAGTATGGAATAAACCAAATAGTAATAAAAAACAAAATAGCATTTCACATGGATATTCATAGTTGGACTTGATTTTTCATAACTTCATGTCAATAAACACTTGAAGTAAAACAGTACTATAAAAGTATAAAATTAATCCTTCATCAGGTGTGCATGACTGTAATTCCAGCACTTTGCAAGCTGAGGCAGGAGGATCACTGTGAGTTTGAAGCCAGCGTAGGCCATATATACAGAGGTCAAGGGTAGCCTGAAGTATATAGGAATACATTGTCTCAACAAACAAAAACAAGCAATTCCTTAAATGTAATAGAGCCAAGTAGAAAGCAGCAGGACAAAAAGAGTTAGAACACAGCAATAACAAAAAGAGGAATAACTGTATTAGTATCAATAAAGACTTCATATCAAAGAAAACTAGCAGGAACAGGGAGGGACATTACATAATGATGAAACAGTCAATCCACAAACAACACCAAGTATACAACAATACACTAATCAACAGAGCTGTTAAAATACATGCAGCAAAACTGTAGTGCTGAAATTTTAAAAACTGTACTAAAAGCAAGCTAAATCCTAGTACAACTATAGTAACAAAATATAAGACTCCTCAATAAATGATACATCTAAAAAATCATTAGCAAGAATACAGTGGAATATAACAATAACACCAATCACTATTATCTAGTAAATATTTATAAAACATTTTATCAATGACAGCAGAACACATATTATTTTCAAAATGCCTACTGAACATTTACCAAAAGAGACGTGGGCCACAAAACAAATCTAAACATATTTAAGGATCTGAAATTGTGCAATGTATTTTCTCTGAGGATGAAAGACATAAATTAGGGGCTGGGGATTTAACTAGGTGGTGTAGGTGCCTGTAGGGCAAGAGTGAGATCGTGAGTTCAATTGTGGTACCGAGAAAAGAAAAGAAAAGAAAAGAAAAGAAAAGAAAAGAAAAGAAAAGAAAAGAAAAGAAAAGAAAAGACCAGACCAGACCAGACCAGACCAGACCAGACCAGACCAGACCAGACAAGACAAGAGAAGAGAAGAGAGAAGAGAAATCAGTGACATGAAAAGGTAATAAGAAAATCTCCAAACATGCAAAAATTAAACAACATGCTTCTAATTAAGCCAGAGGAAGAAAAACCAAAAGACACATTGAATTAAATAAAAAGTAAAATACAATATATCAAAATTTGTGGAGCAAACTGGGCATGGTGGCACATTCCTATAATCTCAGCACTTGGGAGGCTGAGGCAGGAGAATCATCCACAAGTTCAAGACAGCCTGGGCTACAAAGTGAATCCAAGGCCAGCCTGAACTGCAAAATAAGACCCTGTCTGAAAAGACCAAAAAATTTAAATTTAAATTTAAAAGTTGTGGAACACAGCTAAAGTAGTGCTAGGAGGGAAATTTATAGCACTATTATATCCAGCAGAAAATAGAAAATGTCTCAAGCCAGTAATCCAATCCCCCTCCTCAATCAAAAACCCAAAGAACCAAATAAATCTACAGTAAACAGAAATAAAACTAAAGAGAAAAATCGATAAAATTAAACACTTCCATTATCCTCTTAAAAAGATAATCAACAGGGAGCAAAAAGCTAGTTAACTGAAAGATGAATAGTACAATAAATTTCTAGCAAGATTAACAAAGAAAAAACAAATTACCAACATTAAGAATGGATCAAAAGACATCACCTAGCATTAGCTATCAAAATAACATTACAAACAACTTATATATAAGTTCAATAATTTGACAAAGTGGACCACTGCTTCATGAAGGACCAAATGCTAGAATTCAATCAATATAAAAATAATTTAAATAGCCTTATAACTATTTTAAAATTTGAATTCATAATTTTTAAACTCCTCTAAAAGAATCTTCAGATTCAGATGATACGACTGGAGAATTCAACCAAGAGTTTAAAGAAAAATTTAGTGCCACTTACAGTCTTATAGAAAGTAAAAGAGAACAACTCTTAACTAATTTGATGAAGACAGTATTCTCTTGATGGAAATAACAAAGGCATAAAAACAGAAAACTACAAAGCAATATTGTTCATGAATATAGACACAAAAATTCTTAATATATGGAACTAGAATTCAGCAATACATAAAAGAAACGCATAAAATGACCTAGTTGGTTTTATTTCCAAGCTGCAGCAAAGTTCATCCATCCAATAATTCAACAACTGATCAGTGTTATCCACAATAGTAACAGAATAAGGAAGAAAATTCAAATGACTTCTGAAATCAAGATGCAGAATATTTTATATTTTACTCATGGTAAAAATTCTCAAAATCCAGAAATAAAAGGGATTTTTTTTAAACATGAAAAAAATGGGTGGGAGGGACTTACAGATAATATTTTTTTTTTTTGTTTTTTTTTTTGTTTTTATCCGTACCAGGGATCGAACTCATGACTGCCTGCTTGCAAGGCAGGTGCTTATGCCTCTGAGCTAAATCCCCAACCCCTAATATTCTTAATGATTAAAGCCTGGATTCCCCTCCCCAAAACCAGGAACAAAGCAAGGAAGGATGTCTGCTCTCACCCCTTAACATAATGCTAGGAGTCCTCGCCAATGCAATGCAGTGAAGAGGACAAGGATACATTCTATTATTCTAGTATTTGCATATGATGTGGCCATGTACAAAATCTCAAGAAATCTACAGAACACTTTTTGAACAAGTGAGTGAGTTTAACAAGGTCCCAAGATACATCAACATATAAAATTCAATCATATTTGTATACACTATGAATGAGTATGTAGAGTTAAAATTTAAAATATTTCACAAAGATATTTCACAAATATCCCATTGCAACTAAATAACAAAAATGAAAACGAGTATAAACCTAACAAAACACATATTGTACTTCTATACTGAAAACTATAAAATATTAGTGAAATATCAAAGAAGATTTAAATCATAAATAGAGAAACACAGCCATGTTGGAGTACTCCATATAGTAAAGATTTCAAAAGTCTCCAAATTGATATATGGGTTTAATGCAATAGCTATCAAAATCCTGGAGCCAAGGGTTTAGCTCAGCAGCACAAGGTCCTGAGTTCAATCCCTGGTATCAAAAAAAAAAAAAAATACTAATACTTTTTGTAGGGAGTATTATAAAATTGATATGAAACAGTAAAAGCAATTTTGAAAAAGTGAAAATATGGAAATAACACTACTCCCACTTCAAAAAAGAACAAACTAGGAGTTTACTCCCAGATCTTATGATTTACTCTATCAACAGTAATCAAGATTATATAGTAATAGAGAAGAGAAACACAGAAAAGTAAAATAAATTAAAATTTTCACACAAATAGAGTCAACTAATTAACAAAATGCAAAAGAAATTCAGTGAAGATGGTAATTTTAACAAATACACACAAACAAATAAATCTCAACCTATACCTCACACTTCATACAAAAGATTATCCACTGGATCAGATTTAAATGTAGAAAGTAAAGTGGCAAAACTTTTGGAAGAAAACGTAAGAAAAATCTTCAGGACCTAGGTTTGGTGAAGTGCTTTTAAATGTGATGTCAAAAGCATAATTCATACAAGAAAAAATTTGACAAAATGAGTATTTCACCAAAATTTAAACCTGCTTTGCAAAATTCACTAAGAACACAAAAATACAATCTATAGAACACTAAAAAATGTTTATAAGCCATTTATCTGACAAAGGACTAGTATCTAGAATATAAAATGAACTCTCAAAATGCAACAGTAAAATAATAATAATAATAGCAATAAAAAATCTAATTAGAAAGTGATCTAAAAATAGGAAGATATTTCACAAATAAGAGAGTCAAATGGTAATTGAGCACATAACAAGATGCTGAATGCATTAACTGTTAGAAAAATGTAAATTAAGACCAGAATGAGATATCACTCTATATCTATTTGAACAGCCAAAATAAAAAGCTGAGTTTGAAAGATACAGAGAAACTGGATCTCTGATAAATACCTGAAATAAACACAGTCAGCTCTCAAT